TAATTAATTAAAAAAAATAATACAGCAGTACAAACAAGTTCCTGTCGTGGACAGCAAGTGGAAGAGGAGACTCCCATGAAGTCAAGTGTACGTTTTTCTTATTGAAAAACAGTTCCATACTTTAAATTAACGGTCTAAACTCGTGTTTGCCATTCACAAATTATCAAACAATACATTGTTTATTCCAGTAAGATGCAGCAGTCTTTCTGCACATACAAATAAACAACATGCTTTTGCTTCGTAGGTTCGCTTCGCGTAGCCTTGCTTAGATTGTTTATATCAGGCTACGAAGCCTGTGCGCAGGTTAGATTGTTTATTTCAGGCTACGATGTATCTACGAAGCCTGCGCGCAGGTAAAAGTACAATATTTCATGACTATACTGTACTAAAAAATTATATTATACAGTTCAATACTGGTGGCTTGTTTATGCTAACTTATAAATATTAATTTATGTTTATTACATAGTATAGTATATTGAAGCATTAAACCATCAGTGTTTGAAAATAAATAATGAAGAGAAAAAAAAAACCTGAGAGGAATTGAACTATCTCAGTCATAAATACTAACCTCTGGTAGTTCTGTGAGAGCGTTACAATCTAACCAAAGATCTTTTAAGTTCGGTAAAGCACCGAGCGTCTCTGGCAAGTCTTCTAGTTCATTGCTGCCTAAGTCCAGCTGCTCCAATTTGACGAGCAATGATAATGATGGTGGCAGTGTTTTCAGTAAGTTTTCTCGCAGTTCTAGTGTCACTAAATTTGATAAACTGGAGGAAAATGAAATTGTAAAATGCAATACTAATGTTATTATTCAGATTTCAAATTATAAAATAAATAAAATATTAAATTTTTTTCTGTCCAGTTCCAAATATTTGAAATTGGAAATTTTTAATGCCCCCACCCCCCCTCATGTAAGGGGTAATTTGTCCCTTATCCATCCTAATTCTCATGCATCTTCAACATTCAGCAGCATATAAGAAATGGCAAACTTTTACCTTAAAATCATTTGGTTATAGTCAGGGTTAAGCCTTTAGTAGGTGATGACAGGTCACTTGCCTTTTAGTAACATTATTGAAAGTGGCAGTAGGTTATTTTTATACCAGCAGTAAGGTAAATTCATCAAAGGTCATTTAGCAATCTGAATAAACTACTACTGAGCAGGCTTCATACTTTCAAAATGTTAACGGTTCTTTACACTATAGACAGGTATGATCATGGTCTCAAACAGCATTTGCAATTATTTATTCAGTGGGAACACCAAGGAAAACCCATACATCCAGAGACATATTTTCAGTGGGGTTCTTCGGATAGTGATTGGGTTAGCACACGAGGGGGGACAATCCCCTACTTTTTTTTCTGATGGGTGCATTCTTTAACATGCACACAAGCAATATTGCACATGCGACCAACGGCTTCAACATTTCTTCACGTGCACGTTTTTATACTTTGCATTTCAGCCCTCTATTTGAAACACAAGGAAAGCAATGGATGGAATTGAACCTGGTAACAACGGTTAACAACAGATCTTCACGGTTCAGCCCACACAGAGTGGCTACCACCCGCATACAGTAGCCAACCGAGCTATGCTGGTCAATAAACAACAAGGTAGTTTAACAGTTAAAATCATAATTTGAGGTGGGAGTTACGAGTAGGTGTTACAGGTTTCTTTTTTTTCCTTTTATATATATATATAACATTTTTATAAAGAATTTGTCAACAGCCTGGAGTTTGGTTAAAGAATTACTTACTTTCCAATGTCATTTGGCAAACTTTCAAGTCCAACATCATTCAAAGTCAGATATTTAAGGTTTCTTAGCTGTGTGAAGCCAGCCGGTAAACTGAAAGAAAATACATCAAGATTATATTTCATAATATAAAAGACAATAACTTACATTGTGATTAGTCTTCTGTAGTAAATTCTGATATGCACTCTACAACAAAAATAACTTGGGAATTTCAATTTGTTGGATTTATAGGGTATAGTGTCACAACACAATGCATCAATTCCGAGCAAACATTATCAAAAGTGGTCAATATGGCCGAATGCTTCCTACAACTATGTTACAGTCAACAAATCTCATTTTTAAACTGACAAATTTTTATACCTTAATTTTACAACGTATCTGTTTGCGGATTGTAACCTTATGAAAAATTGAAATACATAACGCAACTAAATGGTGAGCTCCGGTAGTTTCATTAAATGTATAAAAATCTAAATTTCAACCAAAAAAGGTTTTTATTAACATAAACTTTTTTATTACATTTTACTGAGATTTCAAGTGATCCTATAATACATGATACAACCACAATTAAGTGGTTTAGTTGGGCTCCACTGTGTGTTTGCGGGGTTTGGCAATACCCGAAAAGTATAGGTTCTAATATATCATTAGCTAAAAAGCTTTAGATGAACTCTGCCATATAGACCGCTTGATAGGTACATTAGTAGTTCCTCAGAAACATATTACATGTACCATGATTTAGCGACGTAGTACTCAAATATATAGGCTTGAAATGTTGTCTACCCTTACGTTCCAGACTGAAAAAAAATCCTAATTCCCAATTCTTAACTTATTTGATTTTTTTGTGTTTTATTATTAAACTGTTTGCTAAAGTTATTTGAATGTGGAATGAGTAAAACTTATGATTTAGTTTGGTGGTTGATTCGAAATTAATTTCTCAAAACGTATTTCTATCAAAAACTGCTTTAATAATAACACATCACGAATAACCTTTCACATTCCATGTTCTGTTTAAGAATCAGTAACAGGAGCAAACATTTTTACATTCCTTTACACTGAGCAATAATAGCGTTGACTGTTGGGTGCATATTATGCAGAGATCAGCTTGGCTGCATGTTCCCTGATGCAGTTACTGTAATTCCCAAGCAACAAGCCATTGTTTGTTTCTTGTTCATTATAGAATCAAAGTCATTAGGTTTGCAAATGAAATTAACATAATGTGATAGTACAATTGGATTTTATAGCAGCTCTACCATAAATACTAAAAATTGTTTATACCACATAGATTATATAGTAATTGCCTGGCATGTTGTAAGTTTCGTCAGTGAATTTCTTTTTCGAAAAATCCCCAGAAAGGCAAAATAAAAATGTATCATGAATTCAAAAAAAGTGTGTGAGGTATGTTGTAATAGAGGATGCCTTTAGGCCCTCACTCGAGATCCTATGAAAAATATATTAAAAGGATTTGTAGCTTTTATTTATTATTGATTGAAACACTGCTGGAGAAGGAAAGGGAAATAACCAGTTGTAAGTATTATAGTGTATGAATAGAACAACTTATTCAATTTATACGCTGGCAGATGTATCTTAGTCATAGCCTTGGTTAACAGATAATCTTGGGTTGGGTTGGAACTTTTAAGAGGTCATTCAACTTCTATAAATATTGTAACCTCTGTGAACTGTTCATAAAGATCTATAAAAGGGGGAAAATAGTACTGAATCCCATCTTTCCTCCCCTCCAGAAATAAAAACACAACTACGCGAGAATGTATCATTTGGAAAAATAACATTCACCATTAAAAAGTAAGATTTATTAACCAATTTAACCGTTACGACTAACATCGTTATTATTATTATTAATTATATTTAAGTACAACGTTTGCCTGGGGTGGAAACCATTTGCAGTAACTTCCCATTAATCTCAAGAACAGATTGAAATTCAATAAGAAATATTCAATTTAAAGATATATGATTTTTATAATAGAATCAGGTAGGAGTAATGCGACAGAGATGAGTCTGATGGTATTGGCTGAGAAACAACTTGACAGTGTATTCGTTGAGAACTTTGAGCAAGCAGGAAGAATGTAATTTATATCTATCTCCTTGACTCTCTTCGTGAGGCTAAGCATATTTTCAGTTGCAGGCAATTGCTCAGTGAGGCAGCAATACAGACTTGTGCAATCGATATCTATGAGATTAAACATACACGTGAACTTCAACGGGGATATCAGAAATTATGAAAAAGACATTAAAAAAATTTGTCAACTCTGCAAGAACGAGATTCGGCAATAAATGTCACCAGCTTTTATCCAAGTGACCCTCAGCAATGCTTATATATTTAAGACTGCAGATGCATTTAGAGAAAAAATCCGGAATCTATTTTTGATTTTCTTTATGGGAATTATTAATTAGAATAAAAATGAAGACATTTTATTTTGAGGCAGTGAAAGAGGAGATTTTAAAACTTCAACAGGGAACTCAATAGGTAGATTTATACCTAATCACAAAAAAAAATAAATAAATTAAAGCTAATTACCATAATAAATATTTTTTCTGAATTGGGTTTAAAAAGCTAAGAAGCATGGATCTATTAATACAAGAGAATGAGGTATCATGCCCATTGAGAGATAAGGAAAGTACCTTGGTATGACTGGAGCATTCTAAAAAATGAAAGCAACGAAGAGAAATTGATGAACTGTGGCAGAAAAAGTAGCTGACTATATCTTGACAACTGTTAGGCCCATGCATTTAGGTAACTTGGGAAATCAATTTTGCATTTGAATAATTCCAGTACAGTAAGCGTATTGTCAGGGCCCTATGTACTTCATACTACAACACTAGACAATGTATCAAACACAACACATACCCAGTTCCCTTAGGGAAATATTTAAAAAATATTAAAACTACAATTCCTAATTAATCAACATATTTAACATTACTGTAAGAGTGTATTCCAGGGACTGGGAGAGATAATTACTAGGTATTTTAAATTTAGTAATAAATTCCAAGAAAAAAAATCCCATGAACAATCTTAAACTTAATATAGTTCCTATCTAAAAGGAAGTATACTTTTAATCTTAAGACATTAACGATAAAAATATTATAAACAAACAAGCCCACTCGTTATCTCACGTCTAATTTAGCATACCAGCACTTTATCAGGAAAATAGTGCAGCTGGATGGATTGCTATAAAACGGTCTTAACTGTAGTGACATCACGATTATAGCCAGCTAAGCTTTAGTACCGTCAAAAGATCGCTTTCAACAATCTGCCCCAGGGTGTGATTCGAATGTGCAGTTTAGCTGACTTTAAAAAATACTTTCAAGAAGAAAAAAACAGAATGACTTCAAAATTGACATGCCATGTTCGGAAAAAACGCCTTTCAGTTGGCTATCCTTACAAATTGTAACATATCTGCTGGATAACTTCAGTTAAAAACTGTTGACTGCCAATGACGAGTATACTCTTCCCACAGGGTGTTGCTGGGGGTAACATTCTAGCATTTATCACTTCTTTGTTAAACATTGCAGAACCACAGACTTAATGGCTGGTAGTTCGGGGAAGGTACACCTAGACGATAACGTACAAACAACGGATGTATGTTTGTTGTTATCTTTCCGGCAGTATACTTGATTACATGAGTGGGGCACCCTCTGAACACATACCAATCCATGCAAAAAGTGGAAGAGAAAATTTGCACTTGGCAGAGACAGTAAAAAATGCTGTCGAGATGCCGGCGACAAGTTTACTCGTCCCCAAATATTTTCCCATTAATTTGATGATATATGACTAGATAGAATTTTTAAAAATTATGTTTGTATGTTTGTTCTGGCACACGGGAAGGAACACCCCCCCCCCCATCCCAAAAAAGTTCTGGCAGTCAACGTGTTATGAGATCTATCTCAAGTCTAAGTCTATACCCCATTAGCCCAATTTTGTTTTTAAGAGGAAAGGAGAAGTCTGGTTGGGCTTATGACATGATAACTACAGCATTATTATAGTAGCTAAAGTCACCCAGGTGTAATAATTATCACACCTTTTTTTGATAATTTCAGGTTTTTTATATTAAGCAATGATCATAATGCCTATTTCGCACAGTATTTCTATACTTCAAGCACGTCTAGACTACCAAAGTTTATTTGACAAAAACATGTGTTATGCCTAAATAAGGTCATGCAGCCCTCAAAATTAAGAAAAAATTATGTCGGCAAAAAAATGATGAAAATCGCCAGTGCTATAAAATTTACGACGGTTATAACATTGGCAGTTTTTAGTTTCAGCCTACAGCCCTGAAATCAACCCATGCTGACCTGTTGTAGCAGTGATGGATGTTTTCAAGTCACCCAATTAAGCTAGAAAACCTAGCCTACATACTAAATTTCAACCACAACTAATTATTGATAAAATGTTGAACAATGTTTATTTTATGATGACAAATAAAATGAAACTACAAATCGAACAAACAGTTAATAGCTAATAGTAATAAACAACGATTTTCCAGACGAAATAACGCTATAATCATCGCTGTCTGTTACAACACCCTGTGAATGAACTGTCACGAAGGTTATGAAGCGACGTACAGCCAGTTCAGTCCCAAAAGCGTTGCCATAGAGATTATCTAATTATTAAAACGACACACCGGTAGGCCTAAACGTTAATGTTGATAAATTGAAAGTTGCGCCTTAATATTGTTCATAAAGTGTATTATCGCCTTGCCTAATCCTTAAAAATTGATTGCAATCAACATGAAATGAAGACGGAACCCATAGCAAGTTTCTATGACGGCTGACTCTTTTTCAGTAGACGTTTAATTCGGATTTGGATGTTGTAGATTCATCAGTGTAAGTTAAATGATAGCTTCACTCATTCCTCAAAAACGTGTTGCTAATTACGGAGGAAATTTGTAGAGAATGACATTAAAATTTTTTAGATTTGACTGTAAAACAAAAACACAAGTGTTTCCTATTTGTTTTATAAATCTGTTTAATTAAAAATTAACCTGTTTACACTGAGCTTGTTTCTGTCTGCAAGCTGTCACGCACTACGAAATTTTGGGCGATCTGACATCATCATAGCCAAGCACATGCTTAACCAATTAGCGGGCAGAGTTTAGGAGGCACGACCTAATGTTTACACAAAGAATGTGTTGTTTAGAAAAATAAATCAGACCGAAAATGCAGGTAAAAACAATATAAAAGCATGACACATACAATCCAGTTTGATTTTATTCACATTTTACTCATAACACAACATAAAAGACATTAAAATAACTTGATTTCATTAAAGATAAAAGTACCAGCGTAGGCCTGGGTTAGCTTGGGCCAGGCCTAAAATCTTCACGTCAGCGATTTTTTCATCGACGTTGGACGGCTGCACGTCGCCATTTATGTCGGTATTGCCGAATGGCGACAGTAATTTTGAGGGCTGGTCATGACATTACATCATGGACATATATAGGCACATCATGACTACATATGGGCATATAGCAGTTTTATGTCAAACCTGGGCAGAGCTTTAGTAATCATTTTTTTGTATGCTAAAATGATGTTTTACAACAACTTAATTCAATTGAGTACTATATAAGTGCACTTCTCAAATTTGAATAACAAACGATTTCAACAAGGTTAAGTATCTGGTTTGATTGACAGATAACAAAAGATACATACCACGAAATGGGATTCCCACTGAGGTCTACAGCCACCAGCGCTTTACAGAAACGGATGTTGTCCGGAATCTCAAAAATATCTAGGAGGGAAAAAATGAATCATGATTATTGTGATTATAGGAAATATTAAACAAACCTGTTTCGATCATCATCACATATTAATGTTGATGAAATGGTATTGGTAAATAACAAAAGTGAAAGAGAAACCAGATTAGGAAATCTCCTGGATTCATAACTCAGCCCCTGTCATGAATGCAATATCCCATAAATAGTTTCAGATAACTCTATTGACATTGCAGGGACTATGGTATAATTATGTCCTCAACTTTTAATTGAAGTTTCATACAATTAATACAAAATAACCATAATTTCAAGTTGACCATTATTTGTATTAATGAAAACAAAGTATTTTATCAATCAAAGAAGTAAGATTTAATTAAGCATTACTACAGGTCTCCCTCTAATTAAAGACTCCCCCTATCCAAACAGACCACTTTTCTAATCAAAGAAGTAAGATTTAATTAAGCAATACTACAGGTGTCCTTCTAATTAAAGACTCCCCCTATCCAAACAGACCACTTTTCTATGGTCCCAAAGACCATGGAAACCCCATCCCAAAAATGGTCTTTAATTGGATAGAAAATTGTACATCAATTGACTGATACAAAAATGGCTTCCTTTATTGAGAGATTCATATAGTAATTCTGAAAACAGCCTTAAAATCAATGTCAATAATAACAAGTTTGCCATGACATGAATAATGGACTAAAGCAATGATGATGACTAACATAGAAAGTACACTAAAACTTCATAAACCACAGCTTATGCCCACACATTGGGACAATCCATTCAGGAATCTGTGTTTTAGGCCCATGGATTACAAATTCAATTCAAAGAAAACATGTTTATACTTAAAATACCTCTATAAGTACATTCTGCTAAGTAGATTTAAGCCATTAATTTACCATGCAACTAAATTTTTCCATTCTAATTCAAAAAGTATGTATTTATGCTAGCTTTACACTTACAGTTAAGGCATATTATATTACACATAATGCCTATTATAATGCCTTTCTAATTATGTACAGTATTGTTATCATGAATCTATTATTACTGCATGCAATGAAAGTGTACAATATTTATTAATTATATAAATATCAGCCAATTTTACGAAATTAGCTGCTTAAATCGTGAGTCTTAATTGGTCATCTTAAGGTCCCAAATGATTAACATTGGAAATGCACGCGTTGATTTACACCGTACTCATATAAACTGTTTTTTTGTTCATAACAATGCATCCCACACACAATATTGGATAAATTAATCAACCATTTATTCAAAAAAATATAGTGCTTAGAAAAAGTCTATGCCATTTTTGCCTTACAATTGACGAAGCATAATGTTAAATTATTCAATGGAGCAAAACATAATCATTTTTTATGACAATGACATTTAAATATCAAATGTTATGTGAACTTATGTCAGAGAGGGCAAATGGTAAAAATATATTTTGAAATCTACAAGTGGTATAGAAATACTGTATGACTATAGACAGACAAGTTCAGTATTAGAATTTGAAATCAGATCTTATTTATATGTGGAAAATGCCACAATGACAATCATTAACTGACTAGTTAACATTACTAGGTTACATTTTTTCACAGTAAATGTTGCTAATTCTAGAGCTAGGTTAAAAAGCGATTAACCTGGTGTACTAATCCTGGATTAGTATGATGACTAATTTGCACAAATCAAGCAGTGATTTTGATGACACCGACTATAAACATCCACGTGCAGTTTATAGAAGCAGAGTAGGTGTAAAATGACGGAAGATCAAGAAACCACAAAGTGAGGGGGTGAGATACTGCTGACACCAGAAATAATTGAAAATGTATGACAAATACATGGATATAGCCTTGATGATTTGCAATGACAGACTTCTATGTTAACAGGATCACTGTCATTTCCTTTACTTCCTACAGTATCTAGCAAATCAACTATTAAAAGATATTACAGCAATGAATTAAAAAACAATGCTGAGGAAAAGAATTCATAGTACATAGTAAAAAAAATACATAAATTATTTGCTCAATAATAATTATGTATAGACGGCTAGGCTATATTTATTATTATTATTTGTAATATTAGCGTAACAACTTTGTAAGTCCCCTATTTAATTACAAACTGTTTAAAGTTTTATACAACAAAATAAAATACCTAAGTCTCAATAAAAAAATTACTAGTTTATTACCCTTATGCGCATGTCTTCTATAGTACTGGAAAAAAAAATACTTTAAAAAAAATTTTTCTCTTTTTTTTCATATTTTTTTAAAATTAAATAGTTAGTAGATATTGTTTGTATTATCTCAATTATGTTTTACTTTTTTTTTTCTTCAAAATGTATTATTAATGCACCAGCAAACAACCCAAGGGTGATATTTGGCTTTGGCAAAATTTTAAAAAATTGAAAAAAGCCTCCCTCACTCATCAATTTTCCAGCCTAGGCTATACTGTAGGTTGATAAACTAATATTTTTTATAGGGCCTAACAGGAAAATGCAGTACAGACAAAAATGTTGTAATTTATTAAGACAGTTGATATTTAGTTTTCACTATGTTTATTATAAATTTCTATTATCGTCATCATCATTATACAAATTTGTAGATCATATTATCATTAGTAAATATTAGTATATATTATTATCACACTTACTGTAGCATATTTTATTATTATTTGATACTACACCATCTGTGATAAGCTAAAAATTAAAAAATAAAATAAAATATTAAATTTCTTAATTTGTATAATAATATACTGTACATTTAACTTACGATTGAAAATTAGAATTAAAAAAAAATCTTTACCATTTAAAAGACATTTAAATATTACATTTTCTCTTTTGCATTAGACCTTTAAATTGGGTAGTAATCAATTTATGACTTTTTGACCCCTCTTGAAATAAATCCTGTATTACGATAAACAGTTAGCCCAGATATCATAACTTCTGATTCTTATGAGTGCTTATTAGTTTTGTATTTTGTTGTTATAAGTCATTTTTTTTTACTAAAACATCTATAAATAATCAAACTGAATCATCTGGGAGTCATTTAAATTAATACCATACCTTATTTGTTTATTTTTATAACAATCCATTTTAATTAAATTTTGGTGTCTTTAAATATATTTTACAATGCTTTAAAGACTATTTATCATTAGTATGCTCTACATACTGTAAGCCAACCGTTATTACTAAAATGTAGCATTGGCTCTGATAAAAAAAAAATGTGACTCTCCTACTAAAGAACTGTAGTTCAAACTTAAAATACTACATGAGTGAGATTATAGGGTTGTTTGGTATGAAAAAAGGAGAAATAATATAACAGATTTAGAACTAAATGGGGAGTGCACCCATCAATTTCTAATAACTTCATTGGTCAATTTCCAGTTTAGTCTTGCATGAATAATGATCGTGTTTCTTGACAAAAACCAGTATTGTGAAGCACCATTAAGTTTGGAAATTATGTGGTACACCTTTGCACTCATTAAATATAAAATGTTTATGAGCAAATAGTTGTTATCAAATATTTATGTGCAAATGAGTAAAGATTATATTGTGAACGTGCCAAAACATGTCTAATCATAACTGGATTCTAACCCATCATGGTTAGTTAAGCTAAAAACAATAATATGTTAAACTAATTAAAAATATTCATAACTATCTTGACATTCCTTTTAGCTCTCTCTGAAAAAAAAAATTACTGAAGAAGAATAAATAATGTATAAAGGGAATATATAAACATTTAAAAATTTATAGAATTCATTATATTACTTCTCCCGTTGACAAATCAATGCTATACTGTATTGTATGAATTACAAAGGAAGCTTCTTTAGCCAAGAGTACCTAGACCTTATACTGTCCAATAACTTAATTTGTTGGCAAAGTTCAAGTTTGATTGATATTAATCTAGAAGCAAGCTACCACAGTCAAATCAATGATATTCATCAATAATTTCTAGTAACATAACCAGTCAAGAATACTTCAGAACCAGGTCAATCTGGAATCATCTCCTTAAGTTTCTCATAATTACATATGCCCGTAATGCGATTCATTTGATGATTTTCTTACAACACTGCCCTCAAGGCAATGCAGTCACATGTACGATATATTACAATATCATATTAAATATTACAGACAGGTAACATGGTATCCGATAACTAAAATATTGACTGAAGTATTTTACTAATATTCAATAGCAAACGTCATCGTGGAATATAGACTGAAATACTATGCAAGTTGAATTTGATTGAAATACAGTAGATTGATTGTTGTTGTGGCAATGTTAAGATGACTTGATGTATTGGTGTTTGGAGGCATGTATCTAAAGGCATGCTTCAAGACACAGAGGATGATGATCGATCACAGAACACAAATAACATGACACTCAGAACTGTGTGACACACTATTCCCCTCCAAGTATTTAAACTGACAAGAGATCTAGCAGAAAAGGGTCTCTTCACATAGAGAATTATACAGTATCTTCTACTATCAATACAAAAGCATACCTGGGAAAGGGACATGCATCTGGGAAAGGGAAATGCACCTGGCAAAGGGACATGCACCTGGCAAAGGGACATGCACCTGGCAAAATGCCATTTTGTTTACAATCATGCCTTCAAAAATCTGATACAATTCTGTAGCAATAAATAGATTTAGAAAAATATATCTACTATTTCAGAACTAAGAATCTTTAATTTATTTAAAACTTTATTCTTATCTCAATATTTTTACCTCAAAACAAAAAATAAACATTACAAGGTTACAACAAGCAGAAAAATGAATGGACCACCTATCCCAATGGTCAACTTTGGTAGTACAAATCACCATTCAAATATAAGTTTAAAAAGACTTGTTTAAACTACCACAGTTCCTCGGGTATAAGCAGGGTTCGAAATAGCGCTGGTCCGCCGGCCAATGGCTAGTAAAATGCATGGCGGACCTGTTAATTATCCCAATAAAAAGCCCGCATGACCAGTTAAAATTTCAATGAAAGTCTGACGAAATACCTACAGTTTTACTCAT